TGGCGTTATGCAACAACCCAACCATCAAAATATGTTGACATATGGAAATAATAATTAGCCATATAATGGTCCTACATGAAGTACATAACATAAAAAATGGATCGGCTTTGGTGCCTTCAACCTAAACGAATAGTGAAAGAACTTACCTCACAGTTTGAAAGATAATTGAACTGATCACTACTCCAACACTAACGTTACAGATCATATATTAATAAACCCCTTTTATTTCATACTTAATTTGTGTAGAATGTAGATTTATGTGTATTTTTAACAGTTTTTTTTTTTTTTTTATCGAAATTGATATGTTGTATATTTTAGAAACAAATGGTTGAAATAGGGAATATATCTTCTACAATTCTATAAAGTTGGATATGGAGATTACATCCTAAATTCAAAGCGTTTGTTAAAGAGTGAATCTTCAGATATTCCAGAACATACATGCTAATTACAAATTGGATCTAAATTCTATCTCGTTGGTGTCCTGAGTTGATTATATAAGATATGCACAAAACCAGAATCCGATCTGATCTGATCTGGATCCGAATCCGATCCGGTTTCGCTTACGTCATAAAAAATCCGGTATAGTCAAAATCCGATCCGAATCTGGTCAAAATCTGATCCGGTTCCAACCAAAATCCGAATCTGATTTAAAATCGGTTTAAAACCGACTTTAGTGGGTTTTAAGCGGATTTTGGGGCGGATGTGGATCCGGTTTTAGCTAATATGGTATCAAATCCGATTTGGGATATAGGATTACGATCCGATTGAAAATCCGGTTTTAAATCCGATCCAATCCGGTTTGGTCAAAACCAGTTTTAACCCAATCCGGTTTCAGATTGGATCCGATTTTGAATAGTGAAAGAGGTTTTTATGTGCATCTCTAATCATATCCCACATGAAGTTGTATCAAGAACATTCCTAGAAGTTTAAAATCCAACAAGAATTTGAAGTTTATTTAAATGTTGTGAAATTAAAGATTGTTGAAATCGTGTATCGTGTTGCAAGTTAGTCGGAGTTCTTATAGAGGTTCCATTTATTAATTACAGATGGTCCTCTCTTCCTCAAATCAATGATCTGATACAACATGATTACCGAAAAAAGCTTTCACAGTGGGTGGTTTGGATGGTGTGTCACACGTCGGGTTTGTTACAGAACTAATTGATTAAGAAAATGTCCCCATTATCTTCTATTCTTGATCAAAACCCTAAATTTTTAGCAATAAAGATTTAGAAGTTCTTAAAAACACTTTTATATATATATATATATATATATATATATATATATATATATATATATATATATATATATATATATATATATATATATATATATATAGAGAGAGAGAGAGAGAGAGATATGTGAGCCCGCGGGTGGGGGTTATTTAATTTGTATTTTAATAGCTTTAGTTAAATTTAATTATTAAAAATTTTAGTTGTATGATTTTTTTTATTTGTTGTATAATATAGGGCACCTTATTATAACATTCTTGCTTATTAATATTCTATAATATATCTCCCATAATTAAGGAGGCTTTCCATAATAACATGGTATACAGAGGGTTTTTACCCTAATAATCCCATGCATCTTACTATTGCCGCTAGAACTCCCTAAGCCACTCAATTTTTTTTTCTTATTTATGTTCTATTGGTCTCATATCCACTACCTGCATCGCAAATCTCCTTATCAACCAGTTTTCTCCGGTTCATATGCTCCAAGCAATCACAGATGCCATCCCAGCCTCATGTCCACTATCATATTCTGGTCACTCTCCATTCCTGCTGCCCATCAAGTTTCTTTTGTCGATAACTGATTTCTCCGATAGAATTCAACACTTCTGCTTCCATCTTTTTAGGTACTAGCCTCGAATGTTGACTCCTGGTTCTTCCTCTACTTCATCCCCATCCAAGGTGAATCTCGTGTACTCTCTCACACAAAAATGTACAACCAATTTAGTTTTAAACTAAGTGTGGATGGGTCTCGATATAAGTTGTGGCGTCAGATTTTCTCCAACATGTGCCATTGAACTTTAAGCTATGGTCACATCCTTGGCAAATCAACACCAATCGGGAGATCCTAATTTATTAAAAATTATATCTAATGATGATTGCACTGCCAAAGATCTATGGGATAAATTTGAGAAATTTTTTAGGAACAACAAAATGTCTAGAATGTTGCAATTACATGATCAATTTCGAAATACAAAGAAAGGTGCAAGTTCTATTACAGAGTTCTATCATATTCTCAAGAACCTATCTGGTGATCTCAAAGATGTTGAATCTCCTATCACTGAAATCGCATTGTTCATGTAAATTTTACGACGGTTACAACCATCATATTATAGTATTGTAAATGTCATCACCAATACCAAACATTTTCCCTCCTTTCTTGAGGCGAAAAAATGCTCCTGTTACACTAGTCATGTGAGGCTGCTTCTGACTCGGTCACCGATTCCATGATTTTCCAAAGTTCGGTTGTTTTTTACGATACAAATTCCTAATCGGTTATTTTTAGACTTTCAAGATAGTTTGAACATTTGTAAACCTCATGCTCAAACTAAGGGAGTGTTAGTTATACGTTTTTTATTATTTGTTGTATAATATAGGGATCCTTATTATAACATTGTCCTATATAAATATTCTGCAACATATCCCCCTAATAAAAAAAAAAAAGGCTTTCCACAATAACAAAAGGAAATAATAAATGTAGAGAAGTTTTCTCATGCGAGAACCAACCACGATAAAATTTGAAAAATACAACGACTTTGTATAAATTTCTTTTGAAGTTAATTAGAAACCTTAGGGACTATTCATGAAGTGTTTGTCAATAATATATAAAAAATAAAAATAAAACATTTAAAAAAAAAAAAATTAAATTAAAATGATACAAAAGTTATTTTACAAAGCAAAATTTGTCAAAAAGATTGTTGTTATGAAATAGCGTGTTTTGTCAAAACATATGAACCCATGGTGTAATTTCGTCTTTGTATGGTTATTAAAATATTAGAAATATGTTGAATAATATAATAAATATATAAATAATAACGACTAAACGGATCTTACAACATTTTCGGAAAACAACTGATTTGAAATCAGAAGCAAATCGATGGTTTAACAGTTTTCACAATATAATATTATCAAATAATAATAAAAAATAATTGTCTAACACCCGACAACCCACACCCCACCCCCTCACTTTCAACTGCTTCTTAAAGTCAACGCCAATCACTGGCGACTTTATCCCCTTTAACTGGAGAAAAACTCAGCATAGAGTACAAACAAACCCTTCCTCCTCCCCTTACCACCGGCGTCACTCCCCCCCTCTAATGCTACTGGTTATTATGATGTCTTTGTGACTGGTTATGTATGTACGCAAAATGGACATTTGTAAACAAATGAGGGGCTAACACTGTCGAATTTGAAAACCCTAGAAATAATTTTCCTCGACTTTGTGTATGCTGGTTTGCAAACTTATTATTAAAGGAGGAAGAAGAAAAGAGTTGAAGTCGTCGATAAATCCCATATGAGCAAGTTTCCTCAAGAAGTAAGTTCTCTTTTTTACTTATATATGTGAAATAATTGAATGTTTGAGGTGGATATCGTAATGTAATTACATATGCATATGAGGCACAAGGACAAATAAATGACAAAGTCAATGTGTATTAGATTAGATTTTTTGTCCATGAGAAATTTCCGTTCTCGTAAGCTCTGAAGTTTGTTGTAAGGTGTAGTGTAATACGACAAATATTTTCTCACATGCTTGAAGTTTGTTGGTGGTTCTAATGTAGCCTTACAAGCTTAACAATCCAAAACAATCTGCAGTTTCAACTTTCAACTTACGCTTGATGATGTTGAGCTGCAATCGGTGGTCATTGCTTGAGTGGCGGCGGTGATGGTTGGTGGTTGTCGGAGAAGCAAAACGGAGGGGGGAGAAGAGGGAGAAAGGAGTGAGGGTGGGGTGTGGGCCCTTTGGAGTTTTTAAATAAAACATTAAAAAAATATAAAAAAGGGGTAAAAGCCTCCCCGCTCATGCAAACCCATTTAAAAAGGCACATAAATAGAATTGCATGACACCTAGGTTTACATTTGCATGTCACCGTACGATTATATCTTTGAAAACTACTAGACTTGCAAACATAGTAATTTTATTTTCTTTAGTTTTATTTTTATTTCAAAATTTAATTTATTTCATTTATTTATTGCTTATTATAAAAATATATTTTAAAATCAAATATATATATATATATATTAATCCAGATTAAAATAAAGTATTTTTTTGATGTTTCATTGTTTTGAAATGTTTAGTTACTTAAATTAATTAAAATTTTAGTATTATTGAGTAATTACTTGATGAATAATTAAGAATTTGTTAATAAAATTAATTGATGTGTCTGTGGACCACTTTTTAAAATCGTTGATCTTGATTTGATCGAAAACTAATCGCAAATGGACTACATTCCTAATTTTAAAACTTTTGGACCCTAACATAAGGGATTAAGAGAATGACAAACTATAAGACCATTTTTTTTTTTTTTGCAATTTTGTTATATTTTGAGGATTCATGGATGTACCATTTATCTGTATAAAACAACAGTTTCATTTTTTCAGATGAATCCAACGAGCACCAATAGCCTGAATAACAAGAGCAAGCAACACAAAATTAATATTTCAAGCACTCGAGTTGACATGTCGGAGTCAAAACCAGAACCTGGTTCAACCAATGACCTCAATACCATAAACGAGGAGCATGATATTAACCCTCGTCCACAAAATCTACCTCGTACAGATCTACTCCACGGTAAATCTACCATAAACATGGACTTTTTAACAACACAACTTCTCTTTCTCTTATACGTAACCTTTATTACAAATATGTAAAAATAAAAACGAACACAAAACATTTTTACGCTAATATACTCAATGTGATTTGTTCTCGAAAGTCAACTTAATTTAAGGATATGCTCGATCTTATTATAAATTGAGTAGCAACTATTTTTTCATTAAATGAAAGGAAGTAGAGATGATTACATCAAGATATTGCTTCCTCTGTACGAAGCATCAGTTACGTGTGATTGGGAAGCTGCTAAGGCCATCATTGACAAACGCCCAGAGTTGGTTCGATTTGCTATCACTGATCGTTACGAGACAGCACTTCATATTGCAGCATCAGCAGAACCGACAAAGCTGGCTGAAGAATTTTTGAAGAATCTAGTTAATAGGATGGAAGAAAAGGATTTGGAGCTTGAGAATAGAGGTGGCGATAATGCACTTTTCGCAGCAGCTGTAAGTGGAAGTCCCAAAATGGTTGACATATTGCTACAAAAGCACAAAGGCATGTCTATTCCATTAGCTGCAAGTACTTACTGTGGAAATCATAACATGGCGATGTATCTCTATGATGCTTCTGAGAAGATGAAGAGCTTAACACATATAGATCGAATATTTACTCTTAACCATTGTGTAACTGCCGATATGTTTGGTAAGTATGATTATATTTTTGCATTAAATATCATTGGGTTGTTTTGTATGTTGTTTGGTACTTTGGTTTGTCGTATATGTATATCATTTTCTTTATTAAATGATTTCAAATGTTTTGTAGATATCGCAGTAAAAATTTTGACAGACTACCCTGAAATCATGGATGCACCTGCTGAAAGTCATTTTATACTTGATGCTTTGTCTGGAAAGGTTGATGCAGTTAATAAAAAAGAACCAATTAAAATTTGGAAAAACGTTGATTCAAGTAAGTTATACCGCTAGTCATTGTTTTTATATTTATAGACCTTCTAACTACCATTACTATGTAGGCTTCTAATTGTTTATTTCTTTCAGTTTTTGCTAAACTACGTATGAAGAAGAGAATTTCGAAAAAGGATCATCAAGCATTGAATTTGCTAACAAGGGTTCTGAAAAGTACTCTTAAATTCAATAAGCATGTCATCGATAAAATATTATTCAGGCGCGTTGAGGATGGTGTTCAGAAGTATTCCGGAATAGTATTTAATGCTGCAGCAGTTGGCAACACATGTTTTATTATTGAAATCATCCGAATCTATCCCCATGTAATATGGATGCCAAATGATGATGGACACACTATATTTCACATAGCTATTATGCATCGTCACCAAGGTATCTACAATCTATTGTATGAGATAGGCTCAAGGAAGTATGTGATAGCTTCATGGACAGACAAAAAGGAAAATACTATACTTCATTTACTTGGGCTAACTATAGAGAAAGTCAAACTTCAGACCCAGTCAAGAGTATCTCTATTGTTGCAACGAGATTTACTATGGTTCCATGTATGTTTTCCAAACAAACTTTTATACAACTCATTGTTTCCTTAAAAGGGGTAAATAGATATGAGGGAAGGGGTGTTTGAAGTTACACTAGACTCATTCATTGTTCAAGGGATCAAATACTTTTTCAAATGACTTTTGAACCAAATCACATATGGATCATGAGAAATGATTTTATCCAACACTCTGATAAAATAAGTGGATATTTTAATGGGTTATAATTGTTTAAAACATTTGTGTTGTAGGATGTGGAGAAGATGCTGCCACCTCCTCTAAGGGAACATAAGAACAAAGATGGCCAAACGGCCTAGCAATTATTCTTTGAGAACAACAAAGATCTAGTTTCGGGCAGTTTGAAGTGGATGAAAGGTTCTATGGTTGTTGCAACACTTATTGTCATTGTAGCATTTGCAGTTGCGTTTACTATTCCCGGAGGATATGACCAAGAAGACGGGTTTCCTATCTTCATTCATGAACCCACCTTCTTAGTTTTTATAATAGCAGATGCAATTTCCTTATTCTCTTCCTCAACTTCACTTCTAGTGTTCTTGTCTATAATCACATCTAATTATGCTCAACGTGATTTCCTATACTCATTACCCAGAAAACTAGTCATAGGTTTAGTAACACTCTTCATCTCTGTAGCAGCCATGATGCTTACCTTTGTTGCAAGTTTCTTTGTGTTATACCGTAACGGGTTGAAATGGGTACCAATCATTATCGGTATATTAGCTGCCATACCAGTCATTGTATTCGCAACACTTCAGTTTCCTGTTTGGTTGGACATGTTCCGCTCGATGTATGATTCTACGTATATCTTCCATCCTAAGAGTAATATGCTTTACAAGAAAAACTCAAGGTTGTAATATTCTTTTTATAAAAGAAAGGACATTGTTTAATGTTTTTGAAGTCAATTTGGATAATGATTTTTTGGCATACAACTCGATATGAATTTTATAGGATTTTGTTGCTATTCTTCCCAATATAACTATTTGAGTGTACTTGTTGTGGTTTGGGAGGAATATAATATGGTTTATGGAATCAAGAGGTTTTCATGATTACTTGACGGATCATGTAGAATACTACTATGATATTTCAACCTTATTTTTAGGTATCATGAAATCCAGATTATGGAAATGAACATTCAAGGAACAATTTTATATCAAGACACTGATAAGATATCAAGAACTAGAGATTTTTAGGAATTTGAATTCTTATCAACATTAAATGCTTATTATATTTCGTAAGCATATGTTTTCAAATAATTATTACGAAACATAATTTGAAATTAATATTCTTCCAAAATAATTTGATTAGTAAAGCAAATTTACGGGGCAAGGTGCCTCGTACCCTGTGGGCAGCCCCCATTGTCTACTTATTTGATGATTGGGTAGTGAGACCCCCGGTACGAGTTCTTCGCCTTGGAACCTCGTTAGGGGTTATTACCCTTAAGACCCTCCAATGAGCACAATCCCTCCATTTGGTCGATCCTTTGAACTTCATTGATAATCTTGTAAATTTCATTATACTAAAATGATTTGTTGACAATAAAATCACCAAAAATCTTCCTTTATTTTAGTGTGGCCAAGAATCCACACAAACACGAATTATAACTAATAAAACTTATACACATGAAAATATTGAAACGGCTGAATTTCCATATTAGTATATTACAAATTCTAAATATCTGAAATCGAGTGCTCTAAGAATTATCTAGTAGAATTTTATAACATCATTATTAAGCAAAGCGTCCCAATCTGAAACATCCCAAAATACGACCCAAAATTTTTTTGTTTAATAATTACTAAAAACACAATGATAATATCATAAGGTAAAACTCGTACGTCAATATCTCAAAAACAATAACAAGTGTTATGAGTAAACTGTATCAATACTGCATCAAATCTCATCTATGAATAACTATAAATAACTCCCAGGACAACTGAAGCTGTGGTGTGTGCGATGCCATCAACCCGAGCTCTTCCCTTTGCTTGCGGAAGTACCTGAAACCAAAACTGAAACTGTAAGCACGAAGCTTAGTGAGCTCCCCCAAACTACCACATACCATAAAATACATATAAACACATACTAGGCCTTGCCCACTGCATCGGACCAAAGTCCGGAAACTGCATCGGACCAAAGTCCGAAACTAACCAGGGCCTTGCCCTCTGCATCAGATCGAAATTCGGAACTACTGAGGCCTTGCCTCCTGCATCGGACCAAAGTCCGGAACTAACTGCATCGGACCGAAGTTCGGAACTAACTGCATCGGACCGAAGTCCGCAACTGACTGCATCGGACAGAAGTCTGGAACTACTGAACATAGCAAAACATAAGCATATCAACTAATCATGAGCACATAAATAACATACTACATTGGGCTGTAACCCGGAACACATAACACAGAAATCATGTCTGAGCCACGAAGGCATCAAACATACTAAAATCTGCATCGGACCGAAGTCCGGAAACTAATACTAGCTAAACAGGCCGGCATTGTGGCCTTAGACCCGTTCCTATTGAAAAGGAAACTCACCTCATGATCTGGATGTCGAGTGTGTGGCTCTGGAAACTGTCTGCTACTGCTCCGGTATCTCCCCGACTACAATTCCACAAATATACTCAATCAAATACTAATAACTTGATTGGGTAAAATGACTCTTTTACCCCTGGCTAAATTCAACTCTCCTGGTCAAAGTCAACTCACAATTGACCTGACTCGCCGAGTTTTGCCACCAACTCGCCGAGTCTTTACTCTCACTTATCAACCCTGCTCGCTGCTACTCGTCAAGTATGACATATACTCGACGAGTTCCTATTCTATTCCAACACTCAGGTCATCTGCATCCGACTCGCCGAGTTGTATGAACAACTCGACGAGTTGTTCTTGAATCATAAGAAGATTGCCTTGGACTCGCCGAGTTGTATGAACAACTCGTCGAGTCCCTCCATTACTGAGTCTAACCTCTAACGCACTGAGTCCATTCCACTAATCACTGGTCCCCACTCGAAATCACTCCAAGGGGAAGAATCGGGGACTCGCGACTTGACTCGCCGAGTACAAAGAACGACTCGCCGAGTCTCATGCATGCAGCTTCTAAAAACTCGATTCTACTCAAAACCACTGCATTTAATATATAGATCTGAGTTCCTAAGGCTGGTTTACCATGTAAAGTTCCCAACTTTACATGTACACAAGCATACAAAAGGATATAAAGGCTAGAAAGGCACTTGGAAGAGTAGATCTAGGGCTAATATGCAAAATGGCTCCATAAAGTTGATAGATCTACGTTTTTCGAACTGAAACACGGCTAGATTCGAAAGCTAATCCATCAAATATGATTTCTCCACTAAGAACAAGCTAAAGAATGTGCTAAACATGCTTATAAAGGAGAATCAATCATCAACACAGGAAGAAACCGATTATTACCTCAAAATACTCTGAAATGGGTACAAAGACTTGGATATTCTTCTTCTTCTTTGGATCTAGCCTTCTCCTTCTCCTCAAAACTTCAAGATTACACAAAGAATGCTCAAATACACAATGGAATGATTAGGGTTTGCTAAATGGAGCTTTTAGGGTGAAGGAGACAAGTTTGGGGCTCATAAGATGGTTTAAATAGGGTGCAAACCCGGGGATTTAGGGTTTCTACCTGGCAGGCCGACTCGCCGAGTCCCGAATATAGACTCGCCGAGTTGCCAACCCATAAGCTGATCATGATCACGACCCTACTCGACGAGTCGGGACATAGACTCGTCGAGTCCCCCTACAAACTTCTAAAATAAATACTATAAAGCAACATACCAGAGATGGGTCGTTACAATTCTCCCTCACTTGACTCCGACTTCGTCCTCGAAGTCTACTACTGCTGAATCTGCAAATAACTCGGGGTAGTTCTCTCTTATCTCATCTTCAGCCTCCCACGTCCACTCAGACCCTTTCCCGTGCTCCCACTGCACCTTCACTAGCTGAATTACCTTGTTCCTCAAGGTCTTTGCCTTCCGATCCAGAATCGCGACCGGCCTCTCAATATAATTCAAGCCGCTATCAACCTGAATATCCTCTAAAGGAACAACTGCCGACTCATCCACCAAACACTTCCTCAACTGAGACACATGGAAAGTGTTGTGGATCTGGCTAAGCTCTGCAGGAAGATCCAACCGATAAGCAACCCGACCCACCCGGGCCAAAACCCTGAAAGGACCAATGAACCTGGGGCCCAGCTTGCCCCTCTTCCGAAACTTGATGACACCTTTCCAAGGTGAGACCTTCAGAAGGACCATGTCGCCTACCCGGAAATCTAAATCTGAATGCCTCCTATCGGTGTAGCTCTTCTACCGACTCTACGCAGTCTGCAGTCTACTACGAACATGCTGAATCAACTCAGTCGTCTTGAGCACCACCTCCGTTCTCCCAATGACCCTCTGACCGACCTCGCCCCAACAAATCGGGGTCCTACACTTCCTCCCATAGAGCATCTCAAAGGGAGGTCGATCAATGCTCGCATGATAACTGTTGTTATACGAAAATTACACTAACGGAAGATACGTATCTCAACTGCCCCCGAAGTCTAGAACACATGCTCGGAGCATGTCCTCGAGAGTCTGAATCATCCTCTCACTCTGCCCGTCCGTCTGGGGGTGGAAAGCGGTGCTGAAAAGGAGACGAGTACCCATCTCGTCATGAAACTGCTTCCAAAATCTGGATGTAAAACGGACGTCTCGGTCTGACACCACTGATACCGGCACTCCATGACGTGCGACTATCTCTCGCACATAGATATCGGCTAACTTTTCCGCTGATATGCTCTCCTGGATCGGTATGAAATGAGCACTCTTCGTCAAACGATCCACTACCACCCAAATCGAATCCACCCCACGTGCGGTCATGGGAAGCTTAGTGATAAAATCCATGGTGATGTCCTCCCATTTCCACACGGGAATGTCTAACGGCTGCATCTTGTCATGAGGCCTCTAGTGTTCTTCCTTGACCTTCCTGCAGTTTAGGCACCTCTCTACATACCAAGCAACATCCCACTTCATTCAGGGCCAACAATAATCGGGTCGACGATCCCTATACATCTTCGTTGCCCCTAGATGGATAGAAAATCGAGACTTATGAGCCTCGTCCATCAACACCTGCCGTACTCCGCCCCCGTACGGTACCCACACTCTCCCATGAAGGGTCAACAACCCCCGACTATCATAATCAAACAAAGCTATTCGGCCTACTATCCTCTCACACTTCTGCCTCTCCTCCTTGAGGCCCTCAACCTCAGCCTCCCTGATTCATTCCAACAATGGAGTAATCACTGTCATCCTCAAACATAAGTCTCTGATATGGGCTGCTGACACCTTTCAGCTCAAGGCGTCGGCCACTACGTTGGCCTTCCCTGGATGGTAAAGGATTTCACAATCATAATCCTTCAGCACATCCAACCATCTCCTCTGCCTCATGTTTAGGCTCGGCTGATCCATAAGGTATCTCAAACTCTTGTGATCCGTGTAAATAGTACAACGGACCCCATAAAGATAATGTCTCCAAATCTTGAGGGCAAACACCACTGCCCCCAGCTCTAAATCGTGAGTAGGATAGTTAGCCTCGTGAGGCTTCAACTGTCTCGAGGCGTAAGCTATCACATGTCCCCGCTGCATCAACACTGCTCCCATACCTGTGACTGAGGCATCACAGTAGACTACAAAATCCTCTATTCCCTCAAGCAGGGAAAGAATCGGAGCCTCGCATATCCTTTGCCTGAGGGTCTCAAATGCCGCCTGTTGCTCAGGCCCCCTAACGAAACACCACCGACTTCTTAGTCAGTCGGGTGAGCGGTACTTCTATCTTGGAGAACCAAGACGCCCCTGA